CTTATTTAATCTCCCGTATTAAATAGGAGAACTTGTCGGTCAACATAAAGGTTTGCAGACTAAAACTGATGTCATAAAATCTTTAGTTTATTTAATCGAGTTGCACTAGTAAAGAATATGTCTATTCCTCTAGATAGATGTATCGCTTACGGTGTTGTGCTCGATCATTTACACTATTACATAAACGAGATCGGCTCGATCTTGTATTTTAAAAAAAATATATATATAAATTAAATTAAACCTCTTTTAAAATCGGGCGTCGGGATCCATTCCGGTGGCCGATAATTTCTAATTTGGCGACCGGCACTACCACATAATTCTAATTTATTTACATATGAAACACCTAAAAATACCACACATTTTCAAATCATACTCTCATGTAAAACATTCTCCAGTAATTATAGGGAATCAAATGTTGAATAAAAATGGCTTAACCATGAAATGTATTCTAAGGACATCCTCCACATCCACCGACAGAAATTAGTAAGAGGATCATATCATGCTTACAACAACAACAAAAAAACCAAAATACAATCCAAGAAGATCATACCATGATCATAGAAAGACAAAAAGAAAATAACTTGGTCATAGAAAGACAAAAAAATAACAAGACAATCAAAACTGAACACATTCCTCCACACCGTCAACCCAACATCGTGCCATACATCACATGAGCATTCCAGGTAACATGAAAACCCAAATTTCAAAACAACAACTCAACCAAAAATTCCAACAAAGATTATTAAAAAAATCCCAACCTAAGCTATTCACATGAAGCAATAGAGTAAAGTAGAGAAAGAGTGTGAGAGAGACAGGATAGTTTAGGGTTTCAGGCATCTCATCAGTAGCCGAGTGAGAAAAAATAAGAGTAATAATAGAGATCAACAACAACTTTGCGCAAAGAAAACGAAGCTCAATGCCAAAAATTTTGCCCTAATTGATCCTATATGGGGGATAAATGAGAGGAATAAGTGGAAACGGGAAGGGGTAAAATCAAAAGAAAAAAAAAAACTTTAACTATAGAACGCAACCCGCCGCAGATCACTTCCCTCATTCGCGTGCCATGATTTGGAGTCCATTGCACCCATGTCACACCTACAATGCACAAGCCAAACAAGTTGACGATGCATTTCATGAACACACCATCAACCCAACGCCATCTGCTGGGTAAAAGGTGACATCTAATTCAATGAGAGAAAAAAACAATAGAAGAAAAAAATGTTATCATAAAAAGACATAATTTCATATAGGTTGCTGAATTAATGGATATATTTTGTTTTTGTTGTAGATTTTATCATGATTTGCCTGGTATTGCGAAGAATTACAGTCTTAATTTCTTGATAAACACCAGATGATGTCCCCACTGTAAAAAGAAATAAAATAATCAAATTAGACTCCACAACCTAACAACATGAAAATGTTAGCTTCATTCTCACAAAATGGTGATCGAAACGATGAGTGTCTAGAATACTAGGGATAGGCCAGTGTAAACTTTTGGTATGATATTTTAAACTTTTGGGATGAATAAACGTCTCGTCAATAGTATATTGGCCCTAACTTGGTTTCCTTATGAGCCACTCTCTCTAAAAAATGGTACTAGTTCTAGGATTTGCCAACATGTGGCATTCTACATAATTTGTAGTAAAATTTGTCAAAATTTGGGATACCGGAGTAGTCTGTGCCACCCACTTATTCGTGGTATGATAAGCTCCTTGTTTTATTGTTTTGTGATCCTCAATTAATTTCAATTCAGAAATAAAGATGGTTAGTGGGAAGAAATCACATGTGAGATGCAAATTTGCCATGATACTACTGATTATAAGATTTTGGCCTACAACAACACAAATATTATTATAATGGTTGAACCACGCTCCTGGCCTAAAGTTTTAGAACTGAGTATGTTTTTCCACTACTAATGTATAAAACCCAACTTGCCACCAACAGCCCCCACTCTTCATATAAGGACATACTTTAAATTTTTTAGCTCAATATTTTTTAGAAATGCACATTGCACAAAAATGATTAAGAGTGAGGAGGCACACTAATCACATGTTGCTTAAGAAAATTACCCTACAATCCAAATATCCATGAAATTTCAATGGAGGTACACGCAGCACAAAAGAACCAAAAAAAGACAACTCCCTACCCATCAGTTACTTGAATAAGATAGCGTTGCCAGTGGCATCAAACACAAATACATAAAAGAAATCTTACAGTAACCATTAAATTAGTGCAAGGTACTTGTTGCACTGAAGGGCAAAGAAATGTAGATTTACAAACTCTACAATTTCCCTTGGCCAAGCAGATAAAGTTGCTACATAAAGCACAGGAGGCAGTAAAAGCTAGAAGCAAAGCGGTAGATAAATAATAGTTTTTTATATTTATATAACAGGCTATTTTAAAGAAAGCATAAGAGAACATACATAAAACAGATAAGATAAGAGGGGTATTGTAATAAGGTGATTAAGACTATTTTAAAAATAATACATAAGTTTTAAAAGGTATAATTAATAGTCATGAACTATGTTATATGCTGCGTTTAGAAAAAAGGTTGATGGATAAAAGTAAAGCAGTTCAGATGAGATACATCTTTAAACTAAAGATAGTATTAAGGGATATTTTAGTTAGGTGATTAGGTTAATAAATCAATTCACGGGAATCTTAAAGAACCCAAAAATATCAAATGAAAGAAGTACCTAGTATGTAAGCATTTAAGAACAAATAAGTTTCAAATTACGCTAATTACAAGGAAATATAAATAATACAATAAAGTAATATAACAGAAAAATGATACAGAATATTACATAGTTTTGATTTTTATTAGACAACTTTATATTATAATAATAAATTCACTACTGTGGCGATTTTAGAATAATACAATCAAAGCAGAGGTATAGATAACATGAAATAATCATCATATGAACTTTTAGGATTGAACTTAACAAGACATATCATTGAGCAATACATGAATTAATTGAGTTTCCATTAAAGAAAAAACTGTATGCCCAAGTAGTTAAAGGTTAAAAAGATGGAGCTTTAACTAGCATTTAAAAAAGTTGTATAGCCAAGAGCTCTTAGGCATTATAGAATTACATGGAAGATTTAAAGATCTGCAACAAGCTTGTTTTGATTTACGTAAATGAGATTCTAGACCATTAATATTCAATACTCCATAAATAAATGCATTCATGTCCTGACCTTTGGCACCTAAACTCTCCTCTTAATAAAAATTTGCAATCATGCATGTTTTATTGTAAAACCTTTCTGTTTTATCATGCATGAATTCATGCACCTTTAATGGAGTATTGTCCTCTACTGAAAAACCCTCAACTCCTATATAAGTAGGGGCTAGCTGCAAGCTTAAGACTTTCACTGGAATTTGTAATTTCCTATCTTATGAAGAGTAGCTTTTTGGTTTAAAGTCCCAAAAGGGTCCATTCTAATGTAATAACTGTGAATACAACAAATTCTTTTCCTCCTGATCTCGTGTATGCACTTTTCCATTGACTGAAAAATCAGCTCCTCTCCTTCGGGTGTGCACGCCAGTATTTTGAAAAAGTTCTCACTCCGCTGCCAACTACAATATCCTCATTCCATGTGCATACCTTTTCGACTTTCTTCTAATTATCCAAGAAGAAGAGTATGACATAAAACATACAAGTAAAAAAAGGATATATTTCTTAGTACTTAAGTAGAATCCTATAATTAAGGTTTAAAGTTAACTTAGACACTCAAGGGAAGACCATTCTTTTGCAAGGAACCAAATTCTCTCCAAGACCCTAATTTGTTTAATGATTCCATCCAAGGATCTCTATCAACGAAGCACAAGTAGTATTCAATCAATAAAGAATCAAAATTAAGTTCTTATCTTTTACAGCATGGTGGAATACACTCGTACAATGTTTGCATATAGGATAATTCTACTTGGTGGGCCCTCTACTGAGACAAACAGATGTAAAAACATTAAATAATATGTATGAGATATAAGGAATAGAAGATCAGTATAGCAAATTTGAATATGTTATAAGCAATTTTAGTGGGTGTACAGCTAACATTTATAAGTTAATATAGCTAGAAGATCAATGATACCTACATGTGATAGATTTAAGTGCCTTTGATTCATTATATATAATAGTGAGAGATGGATGAGAATAAAAGTTATAGAGTTGAAGCTAGGCAATTAAAATGAATAGATACCTTCAAAGCATTATTGAAATTACAACATCGTAGAAATTAAAAAAAAAATTAAAACATATGACCTGAACATTTAACAATAAACAAATTCAAAGAAACCCAAACTTAAGAGTGGTGGAATAAGAACGATAACATGGAAGTGTGCTAAAATTAAAAATATTGCTTGAGAAATAGCTATATGAGACTATTGGAATATCACCTATTAGAAGATCAGCCTGTGGAAAATAGCCTTAGGTAGTTTGTCCATGTAGAAAAGAACAAAGAAGAAACATGAACAAGTTATAGAAATAAAATTCTTTACTGAATAACAATAACAACAGCAACAACAAGCCTTTATCCAACTAAGCGAGGTCGGCTAGATGAATCCTTTCTCTCCATTGCGTCCTACAGAGTTATATTTTCATTTTAATTCTAATAAATTAAGATCATTTTTTATATTATATGTCTACCTCGACCTTCCTTAACATAAGTCGACTCTAAAACATCAACTGTCCTAACTAGATCATCAGATGGTCAACGTTTAATGTGACCAAACCATTTAAGATGACTCTCTCTAATTTTGTCCGCCACTGGAGCTACACCAACCCTAAAATTATTTACTAAACGCATAAATAAATGTTCCGAAGTTCCGTATCAAATTCATTACATGAGTTAACAAAAAATTTTAAGGCCGGCAATAAACTAGAAAGCAAACATAGATCAAAAAGGACAAAATATAAGAATTGACAATGTTTAAAAATGAAAAATTAAGAATTGAAAAAAAATTAGACATAGCAAAATGCTGAAAAAAAAACACAGAAACGCACATTCTCATTATCGCATGCAATCATATCTCCATAAGACACCTGCAAAAAGATAAGCGCAAACAAAGATATAATAATTAGAACTATAGGGATTTAAAAATTGAATATGTAAACATTAAAACACAATCTCAATACCTGGTGACAAACACAATAAGTTGGTTCATTAGGATCAATGGGCTGATCAAGGTCAGAAACAGCAGTAACAGATTTTTTATGACTGCCAGGTGGTGGCATCAGCTCAAGATCCATCTCTCTCTCTCTGTCCCAATCCCTTCCTCTAAATCTCTTTGACTGAGGTGTTATATACCCACCTTTGCGTTTGTCCTCCCTGCCAACCATAGGTAAAAATGGAAGGATTGCTGGCTCATCTAGTGGTATTTTTCCCTCTGTTAAGAAGTGTAATCCAAGAATAGAAACAAACTTAAGGATAAAAACATCAAGATTGGTTAAAAAGTAAGAAAGAAGACAGAAAGAGATCTTTAATGAACAAAAAATTTCTTGTTCAATTGATACTCGACACCACTCAAAACTTAGAATCAATCAACACAATAGTGTCTTGAAAAAAAAGTTAATTAGCATCAACTTGAGCCACACTAAAAAATATCAACCCTAATAACTAGATGAATGACATTCAGGACTTGTATCACACCTTGCTTTAAATCTTCCGCAAACTGGTTCAGGTCCTCATCGAGTCTTTTCACGTGGCTCTCTAGCTGCATAAAAAAAGCAAACATGTAAGTTAAGAAAACATTCTATTGTAAATCTAACATGACGAGAAAACAAACACATATAATATCGAACAACGCATAGGAAACAACTAATGACTACATTGATGAAAGCAAATAGCACAGTGGAAGTCAATTCAGACAAAAAGACCAAAAGTCTTTTACTAGAAATTAATGAAAAAAGGAAAAGATATACGAATGAAATTCACTCACTCTATAGAAACTCACACTATCAAATCTAACAGACACCATCAAATTGTCAAATCAATAATAAAATTGTAAAATAAGGAAGATAATGAAGGGGAAAAAGAACGAACAAAGGTAGAAATGAAAAATCCATGACAAGTGCATGAAAAGGAAACAAAAAAAAGTTAGATCTGAAAAAATCCATGACAAAGGAAATGAAAAATCCATGCCTCGCGCTTATACTAGAATTATTTCCAAGTCCCCTACATATTCAAAGAATTGAATCTAGAATGATAAAGGAAATGAACTACCAATTTAAAATTTTATTTATCCACGTCATTGAGAATTACACTCAAATTTAACACAAAATAAATTGAAATTTCCTTTCACTAATCACATAAATGTCGGCCAAACTGTGAGAAGAATCAATCAGAGAACCAAAAAAATAAGGCGTTCCCAAATGAACCAAAAAGCAGAGCTTCTTGAAAATTAGGGGAGTGACATACGAGCCAGCAATAGGAAATGAAAATAAGGTCATTCAATGGAACAAATCAAATGATTGGCCACAAATATAGTTGATCGATCTGTAGAACGCAAAAAAAGAGGAAATCTTTGAAGTTGTAAGTAACAGGAAAACGGAACAACCACGTGGAATCTTCTTGGCAGCATTAGAATAAGAATTTGAGTACAAATTACAATTTCAAATTATGGTAACATCCAAAGCATACATGCAAACTACTTTACAATTCAAAATAATAAAACAAACTAAAACTAAGCAAAATTCAAATAGAAGTTGAACTTTTAGATTAATAGATTAATCATCATAAAATAAATTTTCTACAATTCTAGACCGAGATTCACAACAACTTTGACTTGCTTAAACAAATTAGTTAAAATTAATTGTCCGGTTGATACTCAACAAATTGATCTAAACTTGATTGTTGCACTTACTATACAGAAATCCATTAGCATGGGCCTGTCTCACTAACGTGTGCAATATATTAGATAACCGCCATAAGTAGAAGAAATAGTTCATCGTCAATTGTAGATTTAGCACAAGAGATGAATGATTATCTAAAAATTAGGTAAATGATCTAATGGATGTAAATACAAAAAAGAGGCGGGAAGAGAGAATAATCTAAAGTATAGATGGATAGTTCATGGAATGAATCCAGATTAGATGCATTAACCATTAGTGTAATCATTCATAACAATTTGTTTTATGACTTAATATAGTCATACTTCTTTTAAAAATTTAGCGCTCATGTACAAAACCTTCCATGATTCAAAAGAATCATTACCCCATCCTTAGGTTGGAAGTTCCACATATCTCGCATTCAAGCATAATTAATAAGTGGGGCATTTACATACATACCGCACAATTCTTATGTATATCAAACTGCTATATATACATATTTACATGCATAACACTCAATTCTTGACCATAACATCAAAAATACCACCATAACTATCTTTCTAAAAGTGAAGTACCCATTTTCATGCATAGGTTTACGATACCAATGTGTTATAAGTATAAATATCAAAGTTTGGGTGTTAGATATGTGAATACATAAGTATGTGTGATATTTATGTAAATTTTCCTTAATAATATGCTTCATGTAAATATTTTTCATGAAAATCATGCACATGTTAAACAAGTTCAATAAGCCTAAATTCTATAAGAAGATAAATTATATTGATATATTTTTGCAGGAACAAAAACAAAAGGATGTCATTGGAAAAAGGACATAATTAATGGTAAATATGGTAACCTAAACTGTACAAAAAAGAGAAAATATTCAAAAAAAAAGTACCAAATAGGGAATCAGCTACAAAGAATCTTCTTGGGAACAACAAGGCAAGGAATTAAGAGAAAAAGAATCTTTAACGTTAGGGTAACATCCTAGACAAACGCATACAAACTCCTAAAAAAACTCAAAATAATAAAGACAACTATAATTTAACCAAATCCAAATAAACATTTATATTTGGGATTGATCATTGCAATGCAAACAATTTACATTTCTAATGATTACAGGGTCTTCAAAATTGACGTCAATATAGAATATAAGACTACAGACATTATAGTTACAATGAACTCTAGATCATAATTTCTAGTACTTACCCATAAAGCTTGTAACAATTTATAAATATACAACCTACTGATATCCAGCATTTTGAATGTACGGAGAAATGAATCATTAGTAAACCATGTATAAAAAAGGTAAGAACAGCATATTAAATTATAATAAATCAAAAAAAGTATATCAAACAGTTCCACACAGAAAAGATCCATTAGTTCAATGTAGTCATCCATTACTAGCCTTTAGTTCACAGTAAAAGAGCCATCTTTATTATCAACCTTATGAAACGTCATTAGACTGTAGGACTTTGAAATTGGCATCAGTATGGAATATAAGACTATTGGACATCATAGTCACAATGGATTCTAGATCATAATTTCTAGTAATTCCACATAAAGGTTTAAGTTATTCATAACATAAATAAAACCTAATAACATCCAGTAATTTGAATGTGCAGAGAAATGAGTCATTAGTAAACCATGAATAAAGAAGACAGTAGTGGTATGATGCACATATAGGTTTAAGTTGTTTATAACATAAATAAAACCTAATAACATCCGGTAATTTGAATGTGCAGAGAAATGAATCATTAGTAAACCAAGAATAAAGAAGATACTAGTGGTATGATGCGCGCGCGCATGTATGTATGTATATATGCGTATGCATTTATATATATGTATAAATAGGTGTTTCAGACTTAGAGAATAGAGCTACAAACTTTCATTGATAGGAAAAGGGGTAAAAATACATATTACAAGATCTAAATAAAAGGAAAGATATAAATTCAGAAATAGACCAAATAAGAAATACATAAATATGGAAACAGACAATAAAGAAAGCAAATAAAAGATAATAATAACTACAGCAATAACTAGCCTAATAATTCTAATACTCTCCCTCAAGTTAAAGCATAAATGTCTATCATGTTCAACTTGGATTTGAAGCCGTCAAACAATGGCCGAGGAAGATTTTTGGTAATGATATCTGTCAATTGATCATTGGATGGGACAAATGAAATACAAATCTCCCCTGAATCGAGTTTCTCTTTAATGAAGTGTTTGCTAAACTCCACATGCTTAGTATGATCATGCAAGACCAGACTATAGGCAATATTAATGACGACTTCATTATCACAGAACAGCTAGAGAAAAGCAAAGATTGACATACGCAATTCACGGAACATAATGTGTAACCCGATAGCTTCACAGATACCCAAGGACAGAGCGAAACTCGGCTTCAAGACTGCTCCAGGCCACAACCAACTGTTTTTTGCTTTTCACGTGACAATTTTTCCACACAAATTAACAATATCCTGAGGTGGAACACCAATCATGGACAGACCCGTCAAACAACACTAGAACGAGAGGTGTGCCTCGAAAAAAACAAATATGAGCCCAGTGGGCTTTTTAAGTAGTGAAGAATTTTGTGGACAACTTGAAGATGGTGGGATCATGCATGAATTGACTCACAATACCTACTGCATAACAAATGTCGGGTCAAGTATTGGCGAGGTAAATGAGTTTCCCCACAAACCATTGGTACTGAGCCTTGTTCATCGGAGTCCCTTTAGGAGCATCAGCTAATTTCTCATCGGGATCCATTGGGACAACCACTTATTTGCAAAAGAAATGGTTATTCTTTGTCAATAGATCAAGAATAAAAATTGTGTTGGACAAGCAAATGCCCCGAGATGACTAGCAATTTCAATGCCTAAGAAATACTAGAGTGCCCCAAGTCCTTCATTTCAAATAAAGTAGCAAGAATATCTTTTAGAGACTTCAATATTGGTAGATCGTCACCTGTGAGCACAATATCGTCGACATAGACAATAAGGATAGCAATTTTGTCACTGGAGGAATACGAAAGAATAGAGTATGATCTGATTAGGCCTGAGAAAACCATGACCCATTATCACCTTTGTGAACTTGTTGAACCAGACCCTTAGGGATTGCTTCAGCCCGTAGAGAGACTTCCGCAGTAGACACAATTGTCTCTGGGGAAAAGTAGAGTCAAAGTCTGGAGGGAGGCACATGCACACCTCTTCTGTGTGTGAGATTCCCATTTAGAAAAAACATTTTTGACATCCAGTTGAAGCAATGACCAATCCAAATTCACAGCAAGTGAAAGTAAGACCAAAATGGTTTAATTTAGCAACCAGAGCAAATGTCTCCTCATAATTAACTTTGTATGTTTGGCGACTAACTGTGTCTTATTGCATTCAAAAGATCCTTCTTAGTTAAACTTGGAGCTGAAAATCCAGCGGCACCCCACTGATTTCTTACATGGATTAAGATCCACAACATCTCATATATGATTCCGCTGAAGGGCATTCATTACATTCATTACTGCAGCTTTCCAGAAAGGGTCAGCTAATGTTGCTAAAATAGTGGGTGGGAGGTGATGATCCGTCCGAGCAGCAGTAAATGTTTTATAAGTCGGCGATACATTGAGGAAAGAGATACATTTTTTTCATGGAATAAAGAAAGCTTGTCTAATTACATATCATATCAGGAGAACTCGCCTCCATATTCAAAGTGGTGTCAATTCTTGGGATGCCATCCAGAGTGGATTCTAGGTCAAGTAAATAGATGGCCAGCTCCATAGTGGGAACATGAGTGCGTCGAGTATAGACATAGAGAATGGGAGGAGGTTCAGGTTGTTTAGTAGGTGGTATATCCAGAGGGACAGAGGACTTATCGGATATAGTTGTTGGAGAAA